TTTTTGCTTATGTGGTGCTGAGGAATGGAACCCAGGGCCTCAGGCATGCAAGGCAAGCGCTCTACCACTGAGCCACCTTCCCAGCCCATGAGGTCAAATTTTTGAAGTAGCTCATCTTTTTTGTTTTTATGGATATAAATAATTGCTGTAATTTACAGGCTCTTTCATTTTAATGAAAACATGTAAAGTATCATTAGCTCCAGCTTTGAAATGTTCCCCACAATATGACAACAATCCTTTTAAAATACCCTTAAAAAAAAAAAATCAAAATGCTGAGGCAGTAGGAGCATGAGTTTGAGACCAGCCTGGACTTAAAAACAAAACCAAAAGAAAAAATAAATAAAACTACATGGTCAGGGGTCTGACTGCTTTTGATCATCATAATAGATTCTAACCAAACCTTGGGAATATTTCCTCCCAATAGCATGGCTACATCTGATTTTTATTATTTTATGTAAAATGCTTAATATTCTTTTATCAAGGCAGTAATATTGAAACACTTAAAAGCTAAAATGAGCGAAGTTCATGCTCAGTCATTAGGTTCCTGGGACTGGTCAAGTATACTGAACACAGGCAAACCACCAGGTCAGGCATTACTGTCTTCTTAGTCTTTAGTCTGGGACTTAATCTTTAGTATGGCACTGAGGAATTCTGTCTCTTCTAGCTTTGGGACAAACTTGCTTCAACAGATACCACCCAAGAGGTAGGTTTTTTTGTTTGTTTGTCAGTTGTGGGGCTTGAACTCTAGGCCTGGGCACTGCCCCTCAGCTCTTAAGCTCAAGGCTAGTGCTCTACCACTTGAGCCACAGCGCCACTTCCTGCCTTTTCTGTTTATGTGGTGCTGAGGAATCGAACCCAGGGCCTCATGCGAGGCAAGCAATCTACACTAAGCCAACTTCACAGCCCCCAAGAGGTTTTTTGAGATTCAACAGTTACACTTTTTTCCTTGCTTAACAGACCAAGAAGACAAGATAAAACTACAGGGGAAAATCCTGTCTTTCTAGCTTACGTTTTATTGCTTTAGGTTGTTTCTAGCCTTTAAGGAGGCAGCTAAGAACTAGGCCCTCCAAAAAAACAAGCAAATGCCTACAGCTAGGATTATAAATTTTGATGAGACTAACAGAATAAGTAATCAATGTTGGGTTAAAAGTAGTAGCAAATGTGGAGTTGAAGTCTAGCCAGCCAGCCAGCTAGATGAAAGCTAGCTACAAGTGACTGTAGTGGTGCTGGTGGTAAAGACAGAGGCTGCCGGGAAGAGAAGGATCAAGAACTTGGAATGACGGGACTCTGGGAATTTAGAGACACTAAGATTTTTACTGCCAAATGTAGACAGAATACTTCTTGCAGTCTGATTCTGGCCTCTAATTAAAAGAGGGTTTTACTCCATTCCCAAAGCATAAACTTTGGCTTTTTATAGTCTAAGCAGTGTGCTATTTTAAACACATGGAGGAAATGCATTTTCAGTTACAAACATTTGCTCCTCTGAATCTGCTCATATTTGTTAGCTAACGACGTGAGACAGGATGTTTTACTATCCTGCTCTGGTTTTCCTGTATTGCTTAAATCTGTTTACAGAAAAGGAAAATAAGCAAATAACATGATTTTTGCTACACAAGTTCTATAAACTGAAGCAGCTTCTCTCCTCCCCCCCCCCAAAAAAAAGTGAAAGATATTTTGTTGCATTTTCTTTTGATCAAATAAAGATTATTCCTATAGATTTTCCCTTGAAGAAATTTTCCAGGCTGGGAATGTGGCTTAGTGGTAGAGTGCTTGCCTAACATGCAGGAAGCACTGGGTTCGATCCCTCAGTACCATATAAAGAGAAAAAACCTGACGTGGTGCTGTGGCTCAGGTGATAGAGTGCTAGCCTTGAGCAAAAGGAGCTCAGGGACAGTGCCCAGGCCCTGAGTTCAAGCCCCAGAACTGGCAAATAAATAAATAATTCCATATCCAGCATATGGAGTCTGCAGCAGTTTCTAAAGTTTGTACTGGAAGAACAAGTCCACTCTGACACTCAGGGTAGCTGAATTCCTTCCGACCTGCTTTTTCCCAAGCATAATTCTAACAATCAGACTAGCCCTGAAGGTCAGTCAACACATCAGAAATTTAAGTTCATGATACAGCATGTACTGTATTATAAATAAATGAATTCTCATTTTTATCTATAGTTCTGAAGACTGTGACTCAGGCTCTTGGCAGTTATTGACCATTACAGCTTTTAAAGAACTTGATTTGGGTCAGATTTCACTTTACCCCCTTATAAGGGAGTGAGCAGTAATTAATCTATTGAAAAAAATTTCGGAACATTCAACTGGAATAGCTCCCAGGAACAGCTTCTAATCAGCCTCTCCAGATTTCTTCTATGACCTTATCCCTATTGCTCTCTGCCTAGGGAGCTGCCCTGTATGCATACCCGAGAAAGACTCTTTTCTTAAAACTTCAGTCAGGCTTGTCTCAGTCTTATTCTTGATTAAGCCTTGCCACACTCCCTTATCCTTGCTGGACCAGTACAGCCCAGTTTTGGCAGGAATCTTGCTAAGTCAGTTTAGAGATAATGCCAATGTTGATAATCTAATCACCTAAGCCAGCCTTCAAGAAGAGTTTGAGGGCCTGGGAAGGTGGCTCAATGGTAGAGCACTTGCCTTGCATGCCTGAGGCTCTGGGTTCCATTCCTCAGCACCATATAAGCAAAAAGAAAAAAGCCAGAAGTGGTACTGTGGCTCAAGTGGTAGAGCGCTAGCCTTGAGCTGAAGAGTTGAGGGAGAGCCTCCAGGCCCACAGTTCAGGCCCCACGACGGGACCCAAAAAAAAAAAAAAAAAAAGAAGAGTTTGAGTTCTGCCTGAGCAAGAGAGCAAAGCCAATCTCAAAGTCTTTAACTTCCATTTCCTGTAGGAAATGTTTTGTCTCTCTCCCATTTTCTCCCCCAACCATTGCTTTACCAGTTTAAATAAATAAAATAAATTTTAAAAATTAATAAGCCAGCTGCCAGTGACTCACACCTGTAATCCTAGCTACTTAGGAGGCTGAGATCCTAGGATCATGGTTCAAAGCCAGCCTGGACAGGAAAAGCTGTGATATTCTTATCGCAAATAAACCACCAGAAAACTGGAAGCGGCGCTGTGGCTCAAGTGGTAGAGTTCTAGCCTTGAGCTGAGGAGCTGAGGGACAGCACTCAGGCCCAGAGTTCAAGCCCCATGATCAAAAAAAAAGTATGTAAACTGAGTCCTGGGACTTGAACTTAGGGCCTAGCCACTGTCCCTGAGCTCCTTTTTTTTTTTTTGGTTGGTCATAGGGATTGAACTCTGGGCCTGAGCTCTGTCCCTCAGCTCTTCAGCTCAAGGCTAGCGCTCTACCACTTGACCCACAGTGCCACTTCTGGTTTTCTGGTGGTTTATTGGAGATAAGAGTTTCACAGACTTTCCTGTCCAGGATGGCTTTGAACCTCAATCCTTAGATCTCAGCCTCCTAAGTAGCTAGGATTACAGGCATGAGCCACCGGCGCCCAGCTCCTGAGCAACTTTTATTCAAGGCTAGCATTCTACCACTTGAGCCACAGCTCTAATTCTGGTGTCTTTGGGTAAGTAACAGGAGGTAAGAGTCTCCTGCCCAGGCTGGCTTTGAACTACAATCCTCAGATCTTAGCCTCCAGAGTAGCTAGAATTATGTATGTTAGCCCAACCTTTTGTTATGCTTTTTATGTATGCTTTGAGATCATGAGGATGTGATTAAATATTCCATTCAAATGTTCCTTAAAAGTTCTTGCGCTGAGGACATAGCTCAGTAGTACAGAGCTAGTCCAGCAACCTAACAACAACATGTTAGATTTGATTCTCAGTACCAAAGAGAGGGGCAATTTGATAAATTGCTGATAATGCTATCCAAACATTATTTTAGATGCAAAATATACCAGTTCAACTTTGCAGTAAGCACTAAAAACTAGTGCTTCTTTAAAGCTGGAATTAAGAAAGCAAGTAATTTTTGTTGTATGTTCCTTCTTGGTAAATACTTCAGGAAAGGCAGATCAACAGTAATAATTCCCTTTAATTCTCTCTCTTGGCAAAGAAAACAAAAGTACTGCAGTTTTTAAAGCAGGTCCTTTGGAAAACAGCTTTCCCAAGTGTTAAGTACATCTGGGTCTGAACCTTAAAATACTCACCCTGATCCAGCAGGGAGTGATGGCAGCGTTGAAGGAACATTAGCCTGTGGCTTTTCTTTCTCGTTCTGCTTCAAGAAGGATTTGGCTTCTTTAGATGTAGCATCCACTTCCTTAGTTACCCTGTTTCAAGGAAAGAAACATAAAATTTCCAAGAAGAACAAGGAGAAGCAAAAATCTAGGAAAAGGGGGCTGGGAAGGCGGCTCAGTGGTAGAGTGCTTGCCCAGGCCCAGAGTTCAGGCCCTACAACTGGACCCCCCCCCAAAAAAAAATCTAGGAAAAGGGAAGATAACTAGTGTCATTTCAAATCTAGAAAAACTGCCCTCCATAATCCTAAATTCTATAAATTAACTAAGGATAAGAAAATATGGTGCCTGGGGCTGGGAAGGTGGCTCAGTGGTAGAGCGCTTGCCTTGCAAGCCTGAGGCCCTGGGTTCGATTCCTCAGCACCACATAAGCAAAAAGAAAAAAGCCGGAAGTGGTGTTGTGGCTCAAGTGGTAGAGTGCTAGCCTTGAGCTGAAGAGCTGAGGGACAGTGCTCAGGCCCAGAGTTCAGGCCCCACGACCGGACCAAAAAAAAAGGAAAATATGGTGCCTGAAATTTCAGATAAACATTAAGAGAATTTACCTAATGCCTCTATGACTTGCCAGTGAACAAAAACATGAAGAATGCTGTTTATATTCTCATCTGTCAGTAGGAGGATCCAAAATTATGGTCATTATATAGTAAGTGTTCAACCAGCTTATCCAATAAAAGACTAGCCAAGAATGACTGGTACATCCTCTAAATTCCACCTCTGAGGAAATGTAAGTTTATGTTTATTCACTTTCCAGGTAGCTCTTGCACCTGCCTTTAGCACAGAGTAAAGGTTAAGCCTTCATCCAAACAGCTCAGTCATATCCCACATACTTATATGTACATGAGCAGCAAATAAATGCTTTTGTTTGCTGCATGCTGCTAAGTTGGGGATGGTTTGTTGGCATTATTGTAACAACAGCTGGCCGACATATTTACATTCATGACTTTGAAAAGTGAAATCTTGGGAGTTAAGTTACTAATTAAGACTATGCAGAGATAAAGCAACAATGCTAGAGAGAATCCTGCATCAGGATGCCGGATGCCGGTGGCTCACGCCTGCAAATCCTAGCTACTCAGGAGGCTGAAATCTGAGGATCACAGTTCAAAGCCAGCCTGGGTAGGAAAGTCCATGAGACTCTTATCTTCAATTAACTACCAAAAAACAAGAAGTGGTGCTGTGGCTCAGGTGGTAGAATGCTCGCTTTGAACTGAAGAGCTCAGGAACAGTACCCAGGACCAGAGTTCAAGCCCCACGACTGTGCAAAAAAAAAAAAAAAAAAGGCTGTCATAAATTTCCCATCTAACATGCTTCCAAATCCCTAACATGACCGATTATGGAAGGGGCCTTTGTGCAGCCACCACCAAGAATTATTTGGAATTCAGTCACCACACAAGAAGAAAGTGGAAAGGAGCAGATTCAACAGAATTAATGAAGAGCTAGAAGCTCCCATTTACACATCCTTATTCTCTCCCTACCAAATATACCCTATTAAATAATAGCAAATTTAAAAACTACAACTATACAAAGATATCCAGATGTCTAACAGAAAAGAGACTAATCAAATTTGTAAGAAATAGGAAGCAAATAGAAAGTTATTGTCTTTGGTTTGTATTCTCTTATCATTTAAGCCAACAACAAGCAAGTCAATTTGTACCACAGAATCCCAGAAGGGCTGGAGGTGTGACTCATGAGGTAGAGTGCTTGCTTAACAAATGCACGGCCTTGACTTCAATCCCCAAAACTACTTAAAAAACACAAATAAGAACAAAACAGGGTGCCGGTAGCTCACATCTATAATCCTAGCTACTCAGGAGGCTGAGGTCTGAGGACTATGGTTCAAAGCCAGCTAAGGTAGGAAAGTCCATGAGACTCCTATCTCATTAATCACCAAAAGGCCAAAAGTGGAGCTGTGCCAAATGGTAGAACACTAGCCTTGAGCAAAAGAAGCTAAGGGACAGCACACAGGCCTTGAGTTCAAGTCCCAGGATTGGCCAAAAGCAAAAATTAAAAAAAAATGTTTTAGCTGGGTGCCGGTGGCTCATGCCTGTAATCCTAGCTATTCAGGAGGCTGAGATCTGAGGCTCGCACTTCAAAGCCAGCCCGGGCAGGAAAGTCCCCTTCAAAGCCAGCCTGGACAGGAAAGTCCGTGAGACTCTTATCTCCAATAAACCACTAGAAAACCGGAAGTGGCGTTGTGGCTCAAGTGGTAGAGCACTCGTCTTTAGCTGAAGAGCTGAGGGATGCTCCCAGGCCCAGAGTTCAAGCCCCATGACTGACCAAAAAAAAAAAAGAAAGAAAGAAATGGAGCCAGGCGTTGATAGCTCATGCCTGTAATCCTAGCTACTCAGGAGGCTGAGATCTGAGGATCGGTTCAAAGCCAGCCAGGGCAGGAAAGTCCGTGAGATTCTTATCTCCAATAAACCACCAGAAAACTGGAAGTGGTACTGTGGCTCAATCGGTAGAGCACTTGCCTTGAGCTGAAGAGCACAGGGACAGCACCCAAGCCCAGAGTTCAAGAAAGAAAGAAAGAAGGAAGGAAAGAGAGAAAAAAGGAAGGAGAGCCTCGCTCAAGTAGTAGAGCAGTAGCTTTGAGCCATGGGGGTGTGGGGGGGGGAGGGGAGGAACCAGGAAGAAGAAAAAAAGCTTAGGGACAGCACTCAGGCCCTGAGTTCAAGCTCCAGGTTTGGCACACACACGCACAGAAGAAAAAAACCCAGCTCATTAAATTGATAGCAAGAACTTTTTTGGGGGGGTCGGTCATGGGGCCTGAACTCTGGGCCTGGGCCCTGTTCCTCAGAGCTCTTCAGCTCAGGGCCAGCACTCTATCATTTGAGCCACAATGCCACTTCTGGCCTTTTCTGCTTATGTGGTGCTAAGGATACAAACCCAAGGCCTCATGCATTCAAGGCAAGCACTCCACAACTGAGCCACCTTCCCAGCCCCTAGGGGTCTGTGAGACTCTCTCCATTAAACCACTCGGAAAACCAGACATGGCGCTGTGGCTCCAGTGGTAGAGGGCTAGCCTTGAGCTAAAAAGCTCAGGGACAGCTCCCAGGCCAAGTTCAAACCTTGATACTGACCCCCCCCAAAAAAAATCCAGAACTGGGGTGTGGCTCAATGTTGGTATGGAAGCTTGACGCTCTGAATTCAATCTTCCCCCTAAAATAAATTTCTTAGAAGGAAGGATAAGCTTCTGCAAAAAGAAGTACAGAGCTAGAATTGGTGGTTCGTGCCTGTAATCTTAACTACTTGGGAGGAACTTTGGAGGATGGAGAGAGTTCAAGTCTAGCAGGGCAAAGTTATCAAGACCCAGGTATTTTTGGGGGGACCAGTCCTAGGGCTTGAATTCAGGGCCTAAGATTTGTCCTTGAGCCTCCTATGGCTTACAACTTAAGCCACAGTACCACTTCCAGCTTTTTCTGAGTAGTTTTTGTTGGGGGCAAGAATCTCATAGACATTCCTGCCCTGGCTGGCTTTGAACCTGATTCTCAAATCTCAACCTTCTGAGTAGCTAGGATTACAGGCGTGAGGAACTGGCACCCAGCTCGTGTTTTATATTTCAAACTGTGTCTTGCTGGTCACCAGTGGCTCACAGAGCTCAGGCCCTGAGTTCAATTCTCAGGACCAGCAAAAATAAATAAAACATTTAAGGGCTGGAGACATGGTTCAAGTGGTAGAGTGTTTGCCTAATATGTGGGAGGCACATGCCAGAACTACAAACCCCATCAACCCCCAAAAGTCACAGACTACTCATGGAACAAATCTTTAAAAAATATACATCAAGACAGACCACTGTGAAATTTCAGAATGTCAGCCCAATTTATTGGGAATAAGCACAGTCTTAGCATCATGCATGCTTGATTTTGTTGTTTTCTAGGTTTACTACTTTCTTTTTCTTTTCTTTTTTTTTTTGTCAGTCATGGGGCCTGAACTCTGGGCCTGGGCACTGTTCCTGAGCTCTTCAGCTCAAGGCTAGTGCTCTACCACTTGAACCACAGTGCCACTTCTGGCCTTTTCTGCTTATGTGGTGTTGAGGAATTAAATCCAGGGTCTCAGGCATGCAAGGCAAGCACTCTACCACTGAGCCACCTTCCCAAAAGCAACTTTTTTTTTTTTTTGCCAGTCCTTGGGCTTGAACTCAGCACCTGAGCATTGTCCCTAAGCTTCTTTTGTTCAAAGATAGAGCTCTGGGTTTATTACTTTCATTAACTACTTGGATAAATATTTTAGGAGACGCTACCGTGATCCTGGCACTGGGTAGACACAATTACTTCTTCCTTAAGCTCACAGGATAGCAGAACAACCATGAAAGCAAGCCATGACAATTCATGAAATAGTAAGCACTGCAGAGAAGGCATGGAGAAAGAATAACCAGTGGAAACAACTCTTTCTAGTACCAGAGTCTTGCCCATAATTCACTAGAAAACATAATACATAAAGCTTTTTTCTTTTGTCAGTCGTAGACCTTGAACTCAGGGCCTGATGGTTAATTGGAGATAAAAAAAAAATCTCATGGATTTTTCTTGCCTGAGCTGGCTTTCCCCAGATCTCAGCCTCCTGAATAGCTAGGATTACAGGTGTGAGCCACCAGTGCCTGGCTTAAAAACTTTTATTTTTTCAGGATTTTTGATAACTGATGCAAACATTACAAGATTATTCTTTAGACTGGGAATATTAGAACTCTACTTTAAACAATAATAAGAGATTAGTCTACCAAAGCATTCTCAAGAAGAATAGTTAAATTATAGACCACTTCATACACAAAAGGGACCCCTGATGGGCTGGGAAGGTGGCTCAGTGGTAGAATGCTTGCCCTGCATGCATGAGGCCCTGGGTTCAATTCCTCAGCACCACATAAGCAGAAAAAGCCAGAAGTGGTGCTGTGGCTCAAGTGGTAGAGCGCTAGCCTTGAGCTGAAGAGCTAAGGGACAACGCCCAGGCACAGAGTTCAGGCCCCACCATTGCCAAAAAAAAGAAAAAAAAGTAAAGATAATGCAAGTAGGTAAAGTGAGCATAGAGTATCTACTACAATAGGGACCCCT